CTCGTAGACCACTTGCTGTGTGGTTGATGGGCTGGATGTAAAAATTTGTCTGTGGCCAATAAATGAGGCAGATTTCCATCCTTTAAATTACTTTAAAATGACACAAAAATTTGGAAGTTGAAATAAAGGGGAGATAAACTGATTTCTTTTGCTCTTACCATGCACATTTTTAGCATAGGGTTTTTACTGGCCAGTAGGTTGGCACCAACAGCCACAGTCAGTCCGTACTCTCGCCGCTGGAGCGCGCTGTCGGCAGGTAAACTAACCAGTTGGTGAAATGCTGTTTCGTGGGTGGTGTCGTGATAGTCGTGTCTGCGTTATTTCTGCAATGTTTTGGATTTTGTGAACAGAATTCTGCCATTTATTGTACCGGAACGTGTGACTTTCAGTGACGTGACAAGTTCTCTCAGTGATTTTAGTGACTATTGTTCAGTATTTGTGAAATAGTGTCATTTTCACCATATTGTGGTGTTGGAGTGCTGTTGTGTACAATTTGTGTTGTTATTTTGGAGTATTAATATCAACAGCAGCTTGCCGCTGAATATTTCTACATCTACAATGGATGCGACGCTACTTAGCCTGTGATAAATCGTGTGTTGTGATGCGCATCTGGTTATCGTAACCATGAATTCCAGATCGCATTTGCAAAGTTTCATCAACAACTCTTTGGCCATTAGGCAGGAAATTCAACGTTTTGAGAGTGTTCATCCTTCTATCTACGCAATTTATGATTTGATTGAGCTTGTGCCCGATCAACTGATTGCACAGCAGATCAGGGATCACGTCGTCTGCATTGAAGGTAAGAGTTATACTTTTCCTAACCTCTGCATAATGCTAGCTGTTCTTTTTTGGAAAATGCAATGTGGGACATTCAAGGTTAAACTCAGTGAGAAAAATCAGCCAAAGCTTGGCAAATCACATTTTTCTAAATTGCTAATTGTCCATCCTTTCAACCTGTTCATTATTTTCTGATTTAGTTCAGTACAATTTTGCATATTTTGTTCAAATTCATTTACCGTGTGTTGAATGACCTTTCCTATGATACACCTGTCGTGAGACTGTCTCTTTATTGCTCTTCTGGGGGTTATAGTCTTGCTTTCTTTATCCACACTTTTAGAATGTACCTTTTTTCATACATTTTGCTATATTCTGTGTTGTGCCTTTATGATATGGGTTTGCAACCAATGCCCTATTGATTTAAATTGAAGCAGGAGCGTATTTTTCTGAAGGAGAACCTGTACATTTGAAGCAGGTGCATCAGTACACTTTCTGAAAATGTATTTGCACATTTGTAGATTTGTAGCAGGTGTATTAGCACCCTTGTGGCAGGTGTATTTAGCACCCTTCTGGCAGGTGTATTTAGCACCCTTGTGGCAGGTGCAGTAGTTATTTGCTCCATTCATGCTGGTACATACACGTGCATTCATGTAACAGTAAATGCCCTTCAGGGTGATGCAGCTGCAATCTGCCCAAATCTCACAGCGCCTCTCAAGGTCAGCACGGCCAGCAGAGGCAGGTGCGAGCAGGTGCAAGCAGGTGCATGCTCTCACCGCGCAAGCTCAGCTGACGCGTTGGTGGTGCACTGCACTGCAGCGTGCACTGGTTGGTGAAATCTAACAAGCTCTTCGGAGTGCAAGCAAGTAGTGACAGTTTGGAGGAGGGGGACGGGGGAGGGACGCGGGAGGGAGGCGCTCTTTCATATATCGATTGGCGCACCTGCATTCAGGGGCAAGGCGGAGCGGGGCGGGGCTGGGGAGGCGGGAGGGGTCGCCTTGAACCTGCAGACCTGTCACACACGTCCGATTCCATTCCCGCTCGTGGCACTACCTCCTCGCCCCCACCCCCTCCCCTCCCCTCTGCTCCCCTCTCTGCCTCCCTAGCGTGCCTCCCCTCCTCACTGTCGCCCCCATTCAACCCTTCCCTCTCCATGCCCCTCTTTTCACTCACACATTCACAACTCGTCCTCGTGAGTGGCCGTGCGCGGGCCCGACCGAACTCACTCGCGATGTAAATGTGCGACAAGAGAGGATTCGATCGACTCTGTTTTGGTAGCCACGGACTTCGACCTTGGCGTCGTCGGCGCCCATAGCAGGGGATCTCGACGACACACCTCCAAAGGATGTGCCAAACCACCGAGAGTGCAGGCCAGGCCGGGTGTGCGGCGCGCGCGGGGCCCCGCTTGGCCCGGCGGGCGCGCAGATACGATCCCGTTGCTCGTGATGTAGCGGGTGAGAAAGTAAGTCAGTAGGCACACGGGCCTCTGGCCGCTGCCGCCTGCTCGCTGCCGCCTGCTCGCTGGCCCCGGCCCCGCAGCCGCAGCCACCGCCTCACTTACCATTTCCTTGCTTCCTTTCTCCCCCTCGGGCCTCCCCCGGGGGTGGAGTGCGCGCGATGCGCCCACACCTCCAGCAGCCCGAGGAGGAGGACCTTTGCCTCCGTCCCGATCCTGCCAGCTCGGCCGCGCCCGCCTTCGTGACCTCGTGCAGTAAAACAACGCGATTATCTAATCGTGTCGCGCATCGCTGCGCATGGAAGTAAATATTCAGCGCGCCGACCAGCGGCGGGGCGGGGGAGGCGGCCTGTATGTGGCGTCGCGTCGCGTTCGGCGCCCCAAGCTCGGCTCGTTCGGCGTCATTCATGAATTTTTCGCGTCCCGCCGAGTGGCGTGGCGCTGCGTGGTCTGGCGCGGTGGGGCGCCCCTCCTGCGTCTGCGTGGGTGCCCGTCGCCGCCGCCGCCGCCACTCGCTCGCTCTCCGGGCCAGACTGTACCACTCTGGGAGATTTATTGTGGGGCAACACTTTGCTCCGTTCTTCCTGGATATCTGCAGTCTGCTGGGGCAAAAACAGACCGAACAAATGCAAAAGATAATGTTTAGTCTGTATAGTCGGTGTACGACGTTTAGTATGGTTGAACCGGGGCCACCTGCACGGCCGGTATGGACCGTGGTTTGTAGGTATTTAATTCATATCGATATAGAAATCTTGTTTTCTCTAAAGACCCGTGTCACACTGGCCGGGTGGCGAGGGCGCGTGTCTCGGCTATAACGCCTCTCAGCGGCGCGCTAGCAGGCCGTGCCGTGGGCGTAACTCACGTGGAAGTGCGCAGAATGACCTGTTGGCGCCGCGGTCACGGTCCGGTCCGGCCGACGCGCCTCATCATCGGATCGGTGAGCGGTGCTCGCCGCCGCGGTCCTGCGGATGAGCGAAGCTGAGCCGAAATGGCCGAGCTGAGCCGAGCTGAGCCGAGCTGATGAGCCGTTAGTCCGCGGGTTTGGTCGGGTCGGGTCGGTCGGGTCGCACACTTTGATGCGCGTTTGGTTACAGCCTCGTTTCACTGGTCGCGCGTGCGGAGCTCTAGTCGGTACCGGTCGGTACCGCCTTTCATTTTGTTTCTCGCGATGTATTTCTTTCTTCCCGCGCACCGTCTGCTGTCGTGGTTCCTATCTGGCCCGGCCGGCCGCCGAGCTGAACTCGATTGGGCCGGGATTGGCCATCAGAATGCGGCGGCACGGCGTGGCGCTAGCGCGGAGCTCCGTGTACTAAACGCAATACGACAATGCGATTGGAAACCGGTCAGGGTCAAGTTTGTCTTCCAGCGCGACCCATTACTGGGCGCGGCTGACAAGGCTCAGTCTGAGCGGCAATCAGCCAGGCGCTCGGTTCGGTCGTGAGGCCGGGCGGTAAGTGTCCCCGTCCCCCGCGAGGCGTGCTCGCTCTCACTGAAGAAGAAAATATGGAACTTGCAATTGTTTT